CCCATTCCTTGTTAGTGCGAAACATCAAAACAGTCAGCACATGTAGCTCGGAAAGAAAGAAATATAGTGGGAAAAATCTCCACATCTGGAAATGTTATCACTTGCTTTTGCATGGAGTCCTCTTCCATGAAGACTTGATGTTATCTGCAGGTCAGTGCACTCTGAACTGGTTACTGTTTGTATAAATTCTACCATTAAGAATGTCTCTTTGCTCGCAGAAAGCTTTGTTGGCAATGTAGTCAACATTTCAGAAACCAGAGGTGTCTGAAACAATGTGACATTGAAATACTTGAGCCAGATGATATAAATGATCACCATCCTCTAATATCTCCAGAAGTTGATTCTGTTCATCTGGACGTTTTCAGTGGGACAAACGTTTCGTCACTCATCCAGGTTCTCTGCATTAAAACCCCAAAACACGCTGCGCCAAAAACTGGGTCCCCCAAGGATCGGGTCCCCGACACAAACAGAGTAACATAGTGTACGCTGTTAAGTGCAGGAGGATTGCCAGGATTTATACATCGGGGAAACCAAACAACCTCTGGCTACAACACAGAAGAGCCACCTCGTCAGGCCAGGACTCTGCAGTCTGTTTACACCTACAGGCCAGTGGACACTCTTTCAATGATGAGGATGTAACATCCTGGACAGGGAGGAACGCTGGTTTGAGGGCGGAGTCAAGGAGGCCATTTACGTGAAAAGGGAAAGACCATCTCTGAATCGAGGAGGGGGCCTAAGGGTACATCTGTCACCATCTTACATGCTGTGATTGCAGCCATTCCCCAACTCTCTGTGAATGGGACTCATGACCATTGATCAGTGGTTGCTGATTAATGGTCATGACCTCCCAGCCCGTTGTTCCTTCAGTGGGCTGGTTTCAGTCGTTATGCAAATGTCCTGTTTATAAGATTGGAAACCTGCAGTCAGCTGAGACTGAAGAAGTCACCTGGATGAGTGACGAAATGTTTCTCCCACTGAAAACGTCCAGATGAACAGAATCAACTTTTGGAGATTTACTTACCTGGATGAGCATGCATCAAGATATCCTCTAATATCTTCAGGCAAAAACAAACATATCATTGAAGAAGTTGCTTCTTCCAAAGATGGACAGAATACTTTGAGGTTCTTGAAATCTACTGAGAAATGTTAATTGACATATGAGGAAATTAGACTGCGCGACTTTAGTCAATTTGGTCCTCTGTGTTCACTCTGCTTTTACTATCAGCCAAGAATGAACCGAACACAGGCTAACAACCCCCATGAACAAGATGAAGACTAAATATGTTTGATAAAATAACATTAAGAGAACAGAATTTGTAATTAGTTTGGTGGTACTCAGTAGTATTACGTGTTTGCTAACAGGATAGCCCAAGCCTGGTCATCAGGAACAAATTCATTTGATTGATGCGTGCCGATGACAGAGTCTTGTTTAACTTCTTACAATTAAAAAATGCATCTCAAACATCTGTGCTGCTATATGTCTTGGCACAGATTGTGTATGCTGTTAACTTCCAGTAACTATTACAAGCCTCTGTGACTCCCCATTGCTGTTTATTGGAGTCAGCGGAGATGATTCACCTCTGACCTACTGGCTGGCTAATATGTACTGACCTACACAGTGGAACACTTGGAAACAACAAGACAACTTTGATGAACAGATAGCGTATTTATGAGATAAATTTGGTTTAGCTAGGGTCTCAACTTTATTTAATCTAGGTGGGGGGTTTAGCTCATTTCTGGGGGTGCTGAAGCCCCCCTAAAAATGAATCAAAGCACCCCCAAAGATTTCTTACTTTTTTTGACAACATTGCTGTTTGTGTGACACACTAGTAAAAATATAAAAAGCATACAGTACGTAACATTTCAACAACAAAAGTGACTAGAGTAGTGCATTTTCACAAGTCACTTCAGACCTTTCTGTTTCTCTTTTTTTTTTGTTTTTTTAACATTTGAAAAATTATGTTTACTTTTCAGATGTTACCGTCTAGTTTTTTTAATGTACAAGCTAAGAGAAGAGGGAACAAGTTCTTTATGGAGCTGATGAATGCTGAAAATAAGAGATGAGGGATGACAGATGGACGATAGTAAACCAGAGAGTGGAGTGCATTACTAAAGAGGATGAAGAGGATGAAGAAAAAGACCAGATAACATACCTGTGGACAGACAGTGGACTTTTTGACTGGATTGTTTAACACAGTCTGGGAAAATGGAAGGATGTCTGAGGAATACTGAAGTGTGCTAGTGCCGAGCTATAGTAACTACACAGGCATAAAGCTGATGGACGTAGTTGAAGCGAGGGTGAGAAGAGAGGGAGTGATCAGCAGCAGCTTCATGCTCAGAAGACAAAGATTGCTTTGGGACTGTTGATAAATATAGAAAAGGCCAGAAACAGTTCCACTGTGTTGTGTCTTTGTCCTGGTCAGCTTGGATTGTGACAGGGAAACAAACCAAAGACTTGGACCAGTCTCTGCAACTGTTTCAGCTTTGTTTTGGGACTGTACTGCATTAGACTGACATAGCAAAATGCACCAAGCATTGTTTCTGACAGAAGACACAACATGTTTTTGTGACCAAGCTGATAACCAAACATTACAGAGCAGAGATCGGCCACTTCCAGCCACTAAGATAGCACAGCGCTGCTGTCACTCTGACAGCCACTAATCGAAACAGACTGTGGCGCACCTCCAAACCAGTGTACTTTATGGGAGTTCTACAGGTTGTAAGGGGAGATAATATTCAGCCGAGGGTAGAAGAGACTTGTGGTGGGAGTTCTGGTGTATCAGCCCAACTGTGGGAGAAATCCAGATGTTTGCCATGCAAAAACTCAGGCAGTCATTAATAACAAGTTTAAATTGGTCAGTCTAGGGCCTCCTTTGGAACCCCACCTCCTGTTCCCATAACTTCCTTTCACATTTTCTTTGTGGGAGGCAATGTTTAACCAAGCCATTCCCTAAGTCAAGAGTGCTACAACCCACTTAAAAACCACAGGCTCTCATGGGACTCACCCAAACTTAACTCTTCGCTCTAATCGTGATAAAAAGAAAGCATCCTAATACATACCAGCCCTCATGGCCTCACAAAAGGGCGAGGTTTGCCATCAGATCTTTTTCAAACTATGTGTTTGTTTGTTTTTAAATATTATTTTTATACCACTAGGTCAAGACAGCCATACCCCAAGGCATTCTCACGCTCCAACTCAACCTTCCTAAAAATATAACAGGAAGTAGTGCGTTAGTCATGAAGACAGGGGTTAGTGAAAGGCAAGTAGAAGGTTGGTGAAACAGTGGGTCTAAAGGATTTTATTGCCATATTTGTCAGCATGTGTATCCCTCCATGCAGCATGCAGCAGTGCTTTCTCACCACTGCTGTACTTTTAGCAGTCTTCCGGATCCAGTTCCAGTTGTATAAATAACAGCAAAAGTAACTAGAAACCAGAATTGCACTGATGAATACCTGGTGGGCAAAACCTCCTTCTTGACCAATTGTTGCTTTGTATATTTCATGACCATGCACACCTCTGTACGAGGAGAATAAGAGTGTCTAAAGTTTTGTAGTAGCGTCTAAGGTCTTTTCCAGACCGCACAGCGATGTATGCCGACCTATATTCACTGTGTGTGTAGTGGTAATTCAATTCAATTCAATTTTATTTATATAGCACCAAATCACAACAACAGTCGCCTCAAGGTGCCTTATATTGTACAGTAGATCATACAATAATGGGGATAGGGTAGGTAGTAGTTTCTGTTACATAGGTAGTCCCTATGTTGCAGAAACATGTGTTTATTTATTGGAAAGAGGTCGTTTCTACATTGCTTAGCACTGTGTTTTACCTGTCTTTTAGCCCTTACAGACAGGGGTTGTGTTGTGCTGATGGGCCAACATTACACCAAGAAAAAGGGTGAAATGTTCTGTTTGTGCACTCTTTTTACACTGAAATGATGTAGCACCTCTGTTAAACCGTCATCTAACGTTGCTTTAAAAAGAAAACATTCCTACATTATCCTATAATAGATAATAGTGAAGAAAACAAATTAAGAAAAACATGGAAACACTGCTAAAATTCAATGTGTAGGCTAAAAATAATCCAGACAAATCTATAAGCTATTTTAAAACCTTAAAACCCTGAAGATGGTAGAACACCATAAACGTAATCAATGACAATAATACTTTTGTATCTTGATATATTTTAAAACACATTCAATCACACATTCATGTTTCACAGCAGCTGTAGCTGAAGAAGACGCCCGTGCAGAATAATAAAAAGGAAAGGGGCCAGCTGGACTGCAGAGGCTATTAATGTTTGCAGACAAGAGCATAAGTGTGCCAGACTTTGAAATGTTAAATACAATAAATATGTCTTGGCACAGTGGATGTGTTCTCTCGTCAGCGACGCTGGTCCACTATCTGACCGAGGTCTGAACATCTGTGCACATCTGTCTGTGGAGGGAAGTCAGGGAAAAGAAGCTACTACATGAAATTGTGATCTTCAGTTGGGCTGACACAGAGCACAGCTGACTGCATGGATATCTTTCAGGCAGTTTTAATGGTGTATAAAATACTCTGTATTAAAACACAAAATGCAGGAATAGAACCTGACATTGAGATCGTGAGGTGACTGGCACTGATGCCCTACAGCAAGAGGGCTTTGTGTTTAAACTAACTGGTTAGCTAGAGCATATTTGTGGAGTTTATAGGCTCTTCCACAGTCCAATGAGACACATGTTAAGTTGGAGCAGCTGTACCTCAGAAGGTAGAGCAGGTCATTCTCTAATCAGAGGGTTGGTGGTTTGATCCCTGCTGCTCCCAGTCAGAATGCCAAATATCCTAACCACTACTAACCCCAAGTTCCTTCCTGATATGTCCCATGCTCTGGGGGGCGGGGCTATGGCTTCCCACACCCTCTAGCACATAAGTGTCAAACTCATGTTTGACACTTATGTGCTTTTTCTTTCTTTCAGTGGCTAATGACTTTTCTGCAATTCACAATTTTGTATCATCAAACACACAAACTGTAGAATTAGGTTTTAAATATAAACACAAAGTAGCATCAGGACAGCAAACATATCACAAAAGCCAAGTTTTGTTGGTGTTACACAAACAGTCTACATGTGGGTGGTGCTGTCCAAAAGCTTCGTCAGGTCCGTCCATTTAGTTACACGTGTAAGAGGGATCCTGGAGATTCAGCGGGTTTGAGAACAAATCAGTTAATATGAACCTACGAGAGTCAAACTGTTACATTTTAGTACTCAAAGATTCATGATTTAAACATACTTCAACCATGTTGGTCAAATCAGAAATGCTTTGCCTTTCTGATTGAAATATCCCAGCATGTCATCAAGTTTCTGAATGCATAAAAAAAGACCAGTGTTTTACTGGCCTGGTAACAAAGATCATTTTATTACTTAAATAATATGAGGAGTAACATAGTGTATAATAGAGGAGCCAATACTTGTAGTTAGATTTATTTTTATTCATATTTTCAGAAGATAAAAAGTCTACACAATGCTGAGGAAGAAAGCCATTAACTCAGGGAAGCAATTTTTGCTGACCATTAATCTGGGAAGGGTTAAAGGCCATTTCCAACAATTGCATCTCATTCTGCAGTGAGAACAATTATTCACAAGTGGATAATATTCAAAATCACTGACCCAGGGTTTGATGTCACAGCAAATTCACATGAAGAAATTGTAAACAAACACAAAAAAACAAAACAAAAAAGTATTTGGTCTGCTTGTTCTGTTTTGCAGCCACATGATCTCGTAGTCATTGAAGCAGTCATGAGCTTTTCTAATACTGCAGCAGGACAATGACCACAAAACAGAAAATATCAAACAGAATGGTTAAAAAACAGAAAAGAAAGTGTTGCAATGGCCCAGTCGAAGTCCAGACCACGTCGTGACTGAAAGCTGTGGTGGGCCTTAGCAGACCTGTACATAAACAATGAACTGAACCAACGCTGTAAACAAGAGTAGGCCAAAGTCCCTCCACAACAATGTGATGAGGAGACTGATAAAGTCACACAGAAAACATCTTCTTCAAGTGGCTTTTCATACGCCATTACTCCAGTTTGGCATCGTTTTTGGTAAATTATTAAAATGCGTTGTTGTTTCAGGATCTTTTGAAATAAGTGCAGAAAGTTCAGTGTTCCAGAAACAAACACACACAGGCTTTTCTTTTTTTTTGCCTTTGCTTGTTCAACAAACCTAAAACCCAAGTTGGGAATAACAGGTATCACAATAGTGATTAACAGCTGTCTCTGTTAAGCCGAGCTCTGTGTGCACTCATATAAACATGGGACTTTTGCACGTCATATGACTCTTCCGCATAAAGTGATCTCTTGGGTTTTTCCCCAATCGAATCACAAATGTTACCAGATGATGATGATAAATATAAAGAATATACAAAATGTAAGTTAAACGCAACATTTTTATTGACATGATGAGAGAATAATGCTGCAGAAAGTTATTAATGTGGTGTTTTATTGCACAGAGTGCTTCAATTAATATTAATTCGAGTTAGTAACTTTAGCTCTAACTGCGCCCTTAGTGCTGCTTTTTATATTGACATTGACAGCTGCACATCGGAGCTCTGAAGATTTCATTTGGACATATTTAAATACTAACTATATTAACTATACGCTAATAAAAGAGATGTGTAAATCGCCTTAATTTGTCAGCAGATCAAAATGAAATTAATTTTAATGACTGAAGAGGTATTCTTGATGTGTGTACAATGTTCAATGAGCTGCAACTCTGGTAGAGTAGAATCACTTCTCAAATCTAAAATCAAACCCTCTGCAAAGGACCAGATGATTTCTTATGTCCTGATAAGCAAAACCTGTGAACCAGCAGCTACTCCAGAAAGAAATTATACTCTAGCTTTAATTCTCAATGTCAGGTGAACTTGTCATTATGGCAAAAAATAAATAAATAAAAGAATTAGCCAAAGGCTTGCCTGATATGTGACCTTGTGGATGCAATACTAACAACAGACAAAATGAAACCCGGTTTAAAAATATAATATTTTGCCATAATTTTGAAATGTGGCTGTGAATATGATATTCTTATCATTAGAAAGGAAGAAATCTAGGACCTTACCTGTTACACATAGAAGCTGACAAGTTTCTGTGTCTGTTCAAGCAGTTTTAAATTTAAAAAATATGTTGTGCTTTACTTCAGGAAGTAGTTAAGTGACTTTAGAGACAGCAGGTTCTTGAGAATTTAGCTATGACACACCTGCCGTCATGTTTATAAGCACCATACTATACACTATACACCATAGGACTTCCAAGCTCAATGTATACACATTGAAAAACACTTTACCAATCTCACTGCAGGACAGGTAACTTGTACCAGTGGTTTGCTTAATAATCATTTTGCCGGTGGTTTCCGATTATTCTCAGAGAATTTCAGACTTGATCTGGTGATGAAGGCGTTGCAATACTGTTGAAAGCTAAAGAACAATTCAATGTATTTGCCTTGAGGTCAGTTTATTCAAGACACTGAGGCTCATTAAGCACATCTCCATCATGAATATAACAGAACATGAACATTGGGGCATCATCTCATAAAACCGAGTCTTCACATGTCCAGCGTCCTCACGGAGTCATCAGAGAGCACTGAAATTACGACTTATGAGTCAAACTCTGGATCACAATCTATCTTTGATCTACATTTTAGACTTCATAGTATTAGGAGTGTGGAGAGCAGAAGCAGAGGCCGATTACTGTCCCGGGGTGCAGCGGTGACTCTTGTAGGTGCCCAGATGTCGGAAGCTGCGCCCACACTGCTGACAGCGGTAGGGTGTGGCCCCGCTGTGAATCCTCTGGTGGGTGTACAAGTTTCCCAGTTCTTTAAAGCGCCGTCCGCACTGAGGACATGCGTATGGACTCTCACCAGTGTGCACCCGTTGGTGTCTCTTGAGTCCTGACAGCACAGAGAAACCTTTCCCACACTGAGGGCAAGGAAACGGGCTCTGGGCACCGCTGTGAATTAGCCTGTGGCTTTTTAAGCGGGCTGCATGGCGAAATCTCTCCCCGCACTCTGGACACACAAAGGGTTTTTCTCCAGTATGGATGCGCTGGTGCTGCCGCAGGTTGCCGAGGTAGTTGAAGCGGCGGCCACAGTCCCCACATTCATACCCCCCCTCAATTTTTATCTCCTTTTTTATAGGACCCCCTCCTTGACTGATGCTTGCAACAGACCCAAATTGTGTGCTTCCCTCATTTTGGCTCCCACCAGCCCTCCTGGAATCACCACTGCTATCTCCCATGGAGGGTGTAGTGGAGGACGTGGACTGGAGTGCCTGGAGAGCCAGGGCTCCAGCAGAGTCTGAGTGTATTAGTTTTATGTGCTCCTCCAGAAAGAAAGAGTCAGGGCAGAAGGTTCCACACATTGAGCAGATGTAGGTGTGACTGGATAACTGCTGGTCTGAAACAAAGACAGTAAAATTTACAATGATGAATAACACAGCAGTAGGGAATAAATTGCATTAGTCTGAAAGTGCTGTAACTAAGTTTAAGGATATAATTCCTCCACTGTTATCGTCTTCGATGACATGTTCCAACATAGAGGACAGCAGCTCCCTGAGCTCCCCCAGATCTAGTTGTTTATAGTGTTGCATCCTCACTGGATATGACTTTGGATACCGTAACTACTCTAAGAAGAAAGTCTCAAATCAGAAGTGCTCTAATGGGGTGATATGGTCCTATAAGGTGGGTGGCTGCAGCTCAGGTGGTAGAGCGGGTCACCTACAAACCAGAAGGTTGTTGGTTCAATCCAGTCTGCATGCCAAATATCCTTGTGCAAGATACTAAGTAAGGGTGAATGTTAGACACAAACTATGCTGTTAAAAACAATATAGAAAAAAGTGCTTGTGTGAATGAACCAGTCCACTGACTGATGAGATGTATGTGAGGAGCAGGGTTCTGGATTTAACAGGGAGCCAATGAAGGGAAGCCAATACAGGAGAAATCTGCTCTCTTTCTAGTCCCTGTCAGGACTCTTGCTGCAGCATTTTGGAGTTGGGAGTTCGCCTTGTACTCGGAAGGTTGCCGGTTCGAGCCCCGGCTTGGACAGTCTCGGTCATTGTGTCCTTGGGCAAGACACTTCACCCGTTGCCTACTGGTGGTGGTCAGAGGGCCCGGTGGCGCCAGTGTCCGGCAGCCTCGCCTCTGTCAGTGCGCCCCAGGGTGGCTGTGGCTACAATGTAGCTGCCATCACCAGTGTGTGAATGTGTGTGTGAATGGGTGGATGACTGGATATGTAAAGCGCTTTGGGGTCCTTAGGGACTAGTAAAGCGCTATATAAATACAGGCCATTTACCATTTACCATTAACTGAAGGCTTTTCAGGGAGTTTTAGGACATCCTGATAATAATGAATTACAGTCGTCCAGCCTAATAAATGCATGTCACTCTGAGACAGAATATTTCTAATTTTAGAGATTTTGCACAAATGGAAGAAAGCAGTCCTACATATATGCACTGAAGGACATATCATAGTCAAAAATGACTCCAAGATTTCTAATGCCATGTGATGATCCTGAGCTCTGTCTATCCATGGAGCCAGATAACACACACCAGTTACTTAAACTGCAGGAAAGTCTTAAAAACAAAGACCTAGATGTCCTCTAACTTCCTGCTCCTAAATTCAGATAAACTGAGGTCATTGCAGTAAAAATGTTAGAAATATGATATCTAACCAGATCTTTAACCTGGGTGCCATTGCTTTGGCCTGCATTAATAGTGTGAGGAATTTAGGAGTCATTTTTTTAACAGGATATTCTCAATGCACTACTGTAATGAATTATTATCACGTTCCCCCAAAAACTCCCTAAAAAGCCTTCAGTTGATCTAAAATACTGCAGTGACAGCACTGACAGGGACTAGAAAGAGAGAGCAGCTTTCTGCTATATTGGCTTCCCTTCATTGGCTCCCTGTTAGATCTAGAATTACATTGAAAATCCTGCTCCTCACATACAAGTTTTATAATAATTTGCTTCTCATGTCTATTGTATAGTCTCGCTTATTCTCTAACCCTAAGAGAGTCTCCCAGACTGGTTCTCTAAAAACCTAAAGAAGAATTATGGATTTGATCAACTGGTCCCTTAATGAAACTGACACCTTCCTGGGCTTGGGAGAGCCTGATTGTCCTGCGGCGACGTTTGCTGACGGATACTCGATGGTCAGTTGCGTCGTGTGTCTGGCGGCACTCTCGGTGGAGGACAATGAACGACATCTACCAATTCGGAACCACGATAACAGAGTTCTGGCTGATTGGAGCCGGCTCGGACCTGGCTTACTGAAGAACAAGAAGCGGCTACAGCTGTTCAAAATCCCACAAGGCTGGCCGACATGATAGACGATGGACAGGGCTGTGAGTACTCAGACTGTGTTTTTGAATGCAATATGGATAACATCTTGAAGAAGAACAGCACGAATTGAGAGACCTGGTGACCAGTGACGGACATTAGACCAACTGTAAAATTGGAAGCAGTTTGTTCGCACTAACCAAAACAACTACCATCTTCATCTCATGGCGCCAGCTGGATGCTCAAGGCAAAAGCTGACGGGAATAACAATCCTCCTTTGGATAACAAGACTGTGCTGTGACTTTCTCCCCCCTCATTCAAGGCCACCCGCGTCGACCGAAGATTGTTGACTTTTGTCTAACTGGGTGAAGGGACACTTTCTCTCGGCTGAACACGGAGCACACACACACTCATACGCACACATATGCATGTACACTGACACAGACCTACAATCACCCCCCCCCTCCAAATGACTTCGAAGCCTATGTCTTCTATGTAGTGAGATGTGCTGATTCATGTGCTGAGGTGTTTTTTTCTGTTCTCAAACTGATCTCCCTGTTTGAGTTATTTTTTCTCCTCGTCTTTCCTCATGTTGTGCATTTTCCATTGTTCTCCAAAAGTTGATTCTGTTCATCTGGATGTTTTCAGTGGGAGAAACGTTTCGTCACTCATCCAGGTGACTCCTTCAGTCTCAGCTGACTGCAGCTTTCAATCTTATAAACAGTACATTTGCATAATGACTGAAACCAGCCCACTGAAGGAACAA